GTATAGGCCAAGGTACCTGTCTCTCACCCTCTTATATAGGCAGCAGTGAAATAGAATGTGAGCCAAGTCCTCAGCCTCTGCCGCTCCACAGATGCAGAGACGTTCATAGAGTATAGAGTGGAATCTCCCATATCTGACCATTGTGCCAATCTGTTCAAATCTCGCTTGCGTGAATATTTCCCTAAGATGTTTTGGCAGTTGTAACTTCAAATAGCTGTCTGCTTGAAAAGTGTGTTTGTATTTGCTCAGCCATTTCAAGTTACCGACCTTACTAAGGATGGCTATGTCATTTTGTGCTTTAATATCCTTAATTCTTTGGGAAGCTCTTTTTTTAGATCGTTCCCTTGTTACACAAGAGATAGGAAGGCCACAGCTTCTTACAAAATTTGTCAATTTAGTGAACCAGGAAGTTTGTGATTATCTGCTCTAGTAGGCATAACTTGGGGAGTCTATTACTCTACATTTCATTAATTTTATACCAGTAATTATACAATTCATGCTCTATCCAAAATTAGAACATATAGTAGTGGCCAAAATTGTGGAAATCTTTTTGGAAAAGTATATTTTTGAGGTTTGATGGCTAATAACACCACTTTTGGGGGGGGGAGTAGTACCATAAAATTATACATCAATGGAAAGATAATTTAATCAAGAATGTAATGCAACAAAGTTTGTTCAATTATCTGTACTGCATTCTATGAAAAGGTATAACCAAATAGCCAGAAAAAGGAAGCACAACTTGCTTAGGTTGATATCAGGTAGCTTTCCTTCATCTGATTGTAGCCAGTGAGCATGAATGTTTAGAGAGCCAATCAGGTGTCATCTTGTTTTGGCAGTGAGCCAATCAGATCACAGTAGGATTCAGTTATTGATGTCATGTATTGAAGCTGAGAGGAGGACATTTGTCTGTGAGTTATGTGATCGCTATCAAGTTGGTTGGGTTTTTTGTGTTCTTTCATTTAATGAGCTTGTAAAATGTAATAAAATTAAAGTAATGGTGCAAAGAGTTGACTGGTTGCCCAGAAAGCGATGTAAAATAGTATTATTAAGTGAACAAGGCTACAGTTATAAAGAAATTAGAAGAAAAATTGGTGGAAACTTAACCAAAGGTGGCATTTCTACTGTACACTTTTCCCAAAAGGTTTCCACAATTTTGTCCACTACTGTATGTTCTAATTTTGGATAGAGCATGAATTGTATGCCTTCCCAGTTCAGCTGTAACTGCTGCAGCAGATATTCTTGGATCTATGCCCAAAATACATATCAGGTGCTAGGACTGCATTTGTTCTAGTGTTGTAATTGAGTATATACCCCAAACTTCTGCTCCATACAAAAGCATAGGAGTAACCTTAGCTTTATATACTCTGATTAATGGAACAAGGGACCCTGGATAACTATGATTCTTTAATTTAAGCAGTAGATTCAAACGAGCCTTTGCTCTAAGTGTGCTTGGTTGATGATGGCAAGCCCAAGATCCAGTCTTGGAAAACATTATGCCTAAGTATACAGAGGTGTTAACCTGTTCAATTGGGTCACCATCTAATTGCCATCTATGTCTCTCATGATGTTTTCCAAACACCATGATTTTTTATTTAGTTTTACTGATGGTTAGGGAGTTGTCCTGGCAATAGGAGTTAAATTTTCTTAATACCCTACGCAATCCTACTTGTGAATATGATAATAGGATCATAGAGCGTAGGCATA